CAAGCACAGTAAGTTCAGTCTCTTGCATATAGGGATTCTGTCACTTTAACAATGCACATACATATGCAGCTTAGCCCTCTTTTTACTATTTTTGAAAAAGCTTTTCAAATGATTTAATTACATAGTTACAGTCATGGGAAAAAATAAAGTACAACCTATTTGAATTCTATGGTTTTTAGATATCATGGCATAATATCAAGCATCTGTTCCTGAGCAGGTCTTAAAATTAGGTAAATACAACCTCAGATAAACACTGTGTCATGTTTCATTTTACAAAAATAAAGTCGAAATGGAGAAGCCACAATGAAACAAATAATGCGCCCAAATGTGTCCTGCTCTTCTCTAATGTGCTTTTTGATTTGTTCCAGCAGATTCCTCTGCTCCTGGAATGCAGAGAAACACATATTGGAGGGCAGCAGGACACATTTGGACAATGTATTTATTGTATTGTTTTGTAGCCTCTAAGGCTTTTAAATGTAAATACATTACTTTCTACCAGCATCAATCTACCTGGCTGCCTTGGATTCTCTTATGACTCTGCCTGGCTGTATGGGGAGTGCTATCCTGGAACAACTTAATGTTATACACACTAGAGCTGCTTTTTTAAGAGGCTCTTTTTCAAGTTACTGTACCACATACTTATATATTTATGCTCATTCGCGTCAATACCAATTTCACTATTAAATATCTCTTTTTCTTTATTGGAGATATCCCTGTGCTATACTATTTACTCAAGTGGTGTGGTGGAACCCAATAAGACACCATCAGCTTCATGCCTTAGAGCAGTGATGGCGAACCTTTTTGAGCCCGAGTGCCCAAACCGCAATACATGCCAACATTTTTTCTCCTTAAAGTGCCAACACGGCAATTAAACCCAAATACTGAGGTTTAAGTTTAGAAAAAAACAACTCGTACTGTTGTCCGAACTAATAACTTTTGTTTTAAAAGAACACAGAGAGTTCAATTATACAAATTTTAAATAATGATATAAATAGATAAAATTAAGCTTATATTTATTAGTATCTCCAACAAATGCAATACATACACAGACAGACTGCTGAATACATACACACAGTCTGCTGAATACAGAGACTGATGAATACACATACAGACAGACTGCTGAGTACACACACAGACTGCTGAGTACACACACACAGACTGCTGAGTACACACACACACAGACTGCTGAGTACACACACAGACTGCTGAGTACACACACACAGACTGCTGAGTACACACACACACAGACAGACTGCTGAATACACGCACACACACACACACAGACTTCTGAATACACACATACTGCATTGAGGTTAGGGGTGCTGTGTGTGTGTGTGGGGGTGTGCTGTGTGTGTGTGTGGGTGCTGTGTGTGTGTGTGGGTACGCTGTGTGTGTGGGGGGGGTGCGCTGTGTGTGTGGGGGGGGGTGCTGTGTGTGTGTGTGTGCTATATGTGTAAGGGTGCTGCGGAGGGGTAGGGGTACTGTGTGTGGGGGGTAGGGGTACTGCTGGGAGGTAGGAGTACTGTGTGTGGGGGGGGTGGGGGTACTGCTGGAGGGTAGGGAATTGCTGTGTGTATGGGGGTAGGGGGGTACTGCTGGGGGGTGGGGTACTGCTGGGGGAGGGGTAGGGGTTCTGCTGGGAGGGTAGGGGTTCTGCTGAGGGAGGAGGGTTACTGCTGGGGAGGGTAGGGTTACTGCTGGGGGTAGGTACTGCTGGGGAGGGTAGGGGTTCTGCTGGGAGGTAGGTTACTGCTGGGGAGGGGTAGGGGTTACTGCTGGGGTAGGGGGTACTGCTGGGGAGGGTAGGGGTTACTGCTGGGGGGTAGGGGTTACTGCTGGGCAGGGTAGGGGTTACTGCTGGGGGGGGTAAGGGTGCTGTGTGTCAGTATAACCCCCCCCTCCTTCTTACCTTTAATGAAGTGGGGGGGGGAGGGGGACACAGCCATCCCTGGTGGTCCGGTGGTGATAAGCACTGCAGGGGGAGGGCTCCAGGAAGCAGCTCCCCTGTCCTCCTGCGCAATGCTATGTGGAGCGTTGCCATGGTAACGCGCGGCAACGCTCCACACAGCATCGCGCGGGAGGACAGGGGAGCTGCATCACAGAGCCCTCCCCCTGCCTCCCGACCCGGAAGCAGAGTAGGCGCCTGCCGTTTCGGGCAGGCAGGCGCCTACTCTGCATTGATGGCGAACCTGTGGCCGCGTGCCCACAGAAAGGGCCGGCGTGCCACCTGTGGCACGCGTGCCATTGGTTCGCCATCACTGCCCTAGGCTAATGTCTCTCTAATTTATGTTTTCATCTTTCAAGTAAATCCATAACCCCTAACAGCAGTGTCCAGTCAAGCAGGAAGCCAATGAGCATGGTAAAAGGGTGTGCCACTGACACAAATCACGTAACCTGCCAAAAGGGGCGAACATGCCCAAAAAGAGGACATGTCTTCTCAAAGAATTAGAAGGCCAGCCTGGCATGAATGCATGTCAGACTGACTGCCAATCATGCAGCTGGCCAACTAAGGGCATACTATGCAGACAGCACCCTGAGCTTGGCATAAATGCATCTAATGATGCGCTCACTCAACGCTTTTTAAGGACTGTCCACTAGCACTCGCTGGTTCACTTGTCTCCTTACCTTCTTACTTGCAGGAGCTCCTGGTATATGGTCTGGGACAGAAAAAAGCTGTATGTAGTGAGTGTAGAAGAAAGGGAACATGCCACAGTGTTAGAGAGACCAAAGGCAGCATTACCTTAAAGGATCACTATAGGGTCAGGAACACAAACATGAATTCATGACCCTATAGTGTTAACACCACCATCTAGCCCCCCTGGGCTCCTCATGCCTCCATAAATATAGCAAAATCATACTATATTCAAGCCTGAAGCTGTAACTCTGCATGCTGTTAGACTCATAAAAACAAGCAGTCTGCTGACATCATTAGAAGTGGTGGCCTGATCCAATCACAGTACTTCCCCATAGGATTGGCTGAGACTGACAAAGAGGCAGATCAGGGTCAGAGCCAGCATGATTCAAACACAGCCCTGGCCAATCAACATCTCCTTATATAGATGAATTTAATTAATGAATCTCTATGAGGAAAGTTCAGTGTCTGCATGCAGAGGGAGGAGACACTGAATGTTTGGATGCATTTTAGGCAGCCATGACCCAGGAAGGATCTGAGGAGTGGCCAGTGAAGTTATCACTAGGCTGTAATGTAAACACAGCATTTTCTCTGAAAAGACAGTGCTTACAGCAAAAAGCCTGATGGTAATGATTCTACTCACCAGAACAAATTCAATAAGCTGTAGTTGTTCTGGTGACTATAGTGTCCACACAAGTTTTGTTCCCATACATCCCTCTTAAGTTTCCATACTTAAGTAAGAGTATGTGAAAAGTAGTTAGGGTTGCCACCTTTCTTGGAAAAACATATTGGCCTTACTAATTTGCATAATTAAATATGTGTGGGTGACATCACATGATGTAAATCATAAGGAGTGACATAAGAGAAAATGCTGTAAAATCACCAAAAAACTACTTAGTTTAAATCTGCTGTATAGATGGATTCCTCCTAGTGCCCCTATATCTCCATGTGCCCTCATGACTCAGTGCCCCCATGTGTCGATTACTCCAGGTCTCAGTGGTCCTATGTATCAGTGTCTCAGTGCCCCATGTCTCCCAGTGTCCCCTAGTGTCGTGTCCCCAGGTCTCCCAGTGATCCTATGTATCAGTGACTCAATGCCCCATGTCTCCCTGTGTCCCCATGTATCCCAGGGTCCCCATGTCACTAGGACACTAGGAAGACGAGGAGACCTGGGGACATGGGGAGACCTAGGGACACGGAGACACAAGTGACACTGGGAGACTAGGGGACTCTGGCTGGGACACATAGGGACAATGGGAAAATAGGGGACACTTGAAGACATGGGGACACAGACACCAGGGACAAAGATACTAGAGACACTGGCTGGGGGACATGGGGACATTGAGACATGGGGGCACTGGAAGACATGGGGACACTGAGACACCAGGGCCACAGACACTAGGGACACTAGCTTGGGGACATTGTGACACTTGAGGCACTGAGAGACATGGAGGCACTAGGAGACATGGGGACAGTGAGACACTGGCTGACTGGGGGCACTGGGAGACTAGAGGGCACTGAGACACCAGGGACACTGGCTGGGAGACATGGGGACACTGTGTCCCCATGTGTCTGTGTCATAATATCTCCCAATGTCCCTTAGTGTCTCAGTGTATGTCTCCTTGCAGCCTTTCCTCCATCCCTTACTTCTCTGAGCTGTAGGCTGTCTCTGCAGGGTGGGAGTTGCTGTCTGGACTCTCTGTAGCTGCACCCCTGCAAATCAGTGAGTATAGATAGGCAGGGAGGGATATGCTGGAACTTCCTATCCCTGCCTGTCTCCACATACAGCGACCCCTACTGGCCAGTGCTGGTATTGCAGAGTAATCTCCATTTATACTGAGAAAAATACCAACATTTATATTGTCAGTATCACTGCAATATTGGCACCAGCCAGGCAGCCTCAAATACTGGCTGTGCCAATAAAATAAAAGCCAGGTGGAATCCCTAAGAGTAGTGTGTGAAAAAAAAAAATTCAAAAAAAAAAAAATTTTTTTTTTTTTTAAATCAATGGGCCTATTCCATGGGCCTGGGCCTGGAGCTGCAGCTCCATCAGCCCCTATGTTAATCCGGCCTGTATATGGGCACAAAGTATTTTATGGATAGTGGCATATCATTAAGGCATAAAGAGTATAATTGGTGGCACTTCTATGCACAAGGAGATGAATAAGTACTAAAATGTTTTTTGTAATTCTAAGGTACAAATTCACATTTTTCGTGTTTTTTTTTCCCCTCTCCACAAAGAAGGGCAGGTTGTTATGTTTATGCTATTTAAGCATGATAGGGATTGAAATAACAGAATTATGATAATGGATATATTGATTAGTATGTAACACAGTATTAGAGCTGGTGATGTCTTTTTTTTTTTTTTTTTCTTCTTCTTTCTTTCTCCGACCAAGCCTCCATCTCCCGGTTTCCCTTCAGGAAGGTGGGATGGGGAAGTTTATGGGGTAGGGAGGGGAACGTTCAGGCTCCCACTCTTTTCCCCCTGCTGTGAGCTGGCCCCCATCCCTATCTCCTCTCTTTTAAACAATCACCTATAATGAGGGATTAGACTGTATCAAAGCGTGTTTACCTCCCCTAGTGTATTAGATATGGTACCCAGCTCTAGGACACAGTCGTGTTCTCCAGGAATTAGAGCTTTTGCGCTAGATTTATGTATACCATGAGCTGTATTTTATTGTTATTTATATGTTTGTATTTGTAAGTTCACTGCAGCTGCGGATCAAAATAAAGGGAAGGTAGATGCATGGTTAAGGCTCTTTCGATAAATGCTCAGGGCCTAAATACTCCTTGGAATAGGGGATTCCTGTATGAGACACTGTTAAAAGAGGAGGTACAAATAGGGTTCATACAGGAAACCAATTGGACTAAGGGGAATATGTGGAAGTATAGTATATTTGCGCTAACATACTGTGTCCATCATTGGAAAACAAAAAGAAATGTGGGGTAGCGATAATCATTAAAAATGTTAAGTTCTCTTGCCAGTACCAAAATCTGGACAAAGAAGGGAGATTTGTAATCTTAGTGGGTCAATTAAATGGACACAATTACATGTTGGTTAATATTTATTTACCGAATAAAACCCCTGCTAGATTGTTGGCTATAATCTTGGAAAAGGTGGATAAAATACATAAAGGTGGATGGACAAATACATAGATTCAGGAAAACCTGTGGACAAAATATTGGTTAAACAGGCAGCAATAATGTGCAAACAATTAAAAAGATATGATATATTTGACTGCTGGAGATTGTCCCATCCTGGTGATCGGAATTACATGCATTGATCAGGTCCACATGGTTCCGCCACTAGAATTGATTTGATGCTGGGGGACACTTATTTAGTAAAGAATATAAAATCAATTACTATAAGAGATAATACATGGTCAGACCATGACATGTTAATAGTAGATATAAAAGATCTGTTTCAGAGAGCCCCACCACCATGAAGAATCCCAAGAAAACATAGAATATATTAAATTAATGTCTAAATATTTTTTTTAAGAAAATACATCAGAACAGATTTCTTTTGAATGTCTTTGGAGTACTTGTAACACTGTAATAGGGGGCTAGTGGATTAAAATAGCAAATCCAAAAAAAAAAAAAGAAGAAGAGAGGACTAAATATGGCAGATCTTTACATTCAGTTTTATAATCTTGTTGCACTCAACAAGGAAATATGTTTGACAGAGAGGGAATATCAAATTAAGCTATATCGAGAAAAGATTAACACAAAAATATAAGAAAGAATAGAAACCTATTTAAGCAGACTAAAAACTAGATTCTACTATAGGAACAACAGAGTAGATAAAATATTAACTAATAAGTTAAAAATAAAAAAGATAACAAAATGTATAAATTAATAAAAGATGGCAAGACATAACTAAAGCCAGAAGAAATAGGCAATGTGTTTAAAACTTTTTATGGAAAACTGTATAATTTGGAGGAGTACTCAATACCAATACATAATTTTAAAAACGCTAATATCCCGACAATATCACTGGAAAATTTAGAGATCCTGAACCAGCAGATTGACTCGGCTGAGGTTCAGCACGCAATTAGTAAATTAGAATATACTAAAGCCTCGGGAACAGATGGTTATAAGAACATGTTCTATAAAGTTTTCCAGAAAGTGTTATTGTACCTATGATGGCTGCATTTAACTGCCAGCAAAAGGGTTGGCCTCAAAATAGTTATTAAGAGCGAATATAATCCCTATCTTAAAACTGGACAAGGTACAGACGGACGCATCAAACTATCGCCCAATATCTTTAGTTAATATAGATTTTTGCTCAGCCCCCCTTACTTGCTCAGCACCACCCTTATATACTCAGTTGCTCACCCCCCTTATTTGCTCACCCCCTATTTACTCAGCCCCCCCTTATATACTCAGTTGCTCACCTCTCCTTATTCGCTCACCCCCCTTATTTGCTCACCCCACCTTACTTGCTCAGCTCCCCCTTATATGCTTAGCCCCTCATTACTTGCTCAGCCTCCCCCTTATATGCTTAGCCCCCCTTACTTGCTCTCCCCACCTTACTTGCTCAGCCCCCCTTATGTGCTCAGGGTCCCCCTTACTTGCTATGTTCTTTTCTCCTCTTGCTCTTCTCCTCAGTACTCATACTCTGCTTCCCTTTGCCTGCTCTGTCTTCTCAATGCATTGCTCTCTGCTCTATGCTGCTTAAGCTCTGCCTCTAAGGTCTGGCCTACGCCGCGCAGCAATGTGCGCTCCCGCTCCCTCCCTCACTCTCTCTGTCTATGGTCTAAGGTCTGTACCACACGGTGGCGCCGGTGAGCAAGCAGCCGAGCCGCCAGAAACAACTAAAATCATCAGGGAAGTTCTGACAGAGAAGTGAGACTCTCTCACCTCGCGGCTCGCTCACGGCTGTCCGAACTTCCCTGGCCATATAACTTTGATTTAAATTGGGGGGAGGGGGGGGCACAAGAGAGTGCTCAGCCTGACCTAGGGAGGGTCATGGTCCCCTCTGGCCTCCCCCTAGCAACACCACTGGTCCCCTTGGAAAAAGTTTCCCAGGAAGAGGATTTTTAGAATATCAATAACAAGAGAAAAGTAAAAATTTCTGAGCCAATACCCATTTCCTTGCAAGGAGGAAAACTTTAGAAGAAGGGGAAATAGATGAGGAGTGGTTACACAAAGAAGGAAAAAGACGCTTATATTAACTACAAATGAGGGACCAAATAACGGCATTCTAAACTTGACAAAATATTGGGTATTCCCCCAAACTAAATTTTTACAAAAAAGCCTTAAATTTGCATCTTAGAATAACCTTGATAGATTTTATGCTTATGTAGATTTGAACCGTTTCAAAAGAAATCTGTGTTTAAAAAAATATTTTCAAAAACAAATCTATGGGTACAAAAAGCAGACCATGGAGATAATAATGAATCTGTACACGCAATTAAAAACAAGTCTACCCGGGGGGGCAGGGCATGACTGCCATGCTGACAGGATGCTTAGAATGCCAACTCCTGCAAATCTCTTGGCCTTTAGGTTTTTCCAGTTGCGAAACTGCTAAAACTTGATTTCTAAGCTGGGCTATTAGAAAGCAGACCGAGCTGGAGCTAAATTGGAGCCTTCTCGTCGGATATGGACTATTTTGGAGAAATTCTTGAAAATGCAGCCTACTCTGGAGTGCCAATGTGTGCTGGGAGGCGGCCGATCCCTTGTACTAAAGCAATCCAGTCTGCCTGAGTTCCTACAACACAGCCTTGTTCTCCTTTTTGGACTGGAGGGGTTATTCCAGTCCACCCTGGAGCATCACTATACTCACCATTCTCTGGCTACTATTTAGGCTCAGTGAGCCAGCACGACAGCAAACTGCCAAGATGG